AAAAAAATGTAAAGAAAGAAAGAAAGAAATGGAGATATAGGGGGAAAAGACTAAAAAGTGACCATTTTATAAAAAATGGGAAGGAAAACGAATTTCACTCCTGGCAATATTTTCAATTCATCTTAAGACACATTGTCCCATCAATCTATATATCACTTTATTAAATCTAACAACATCAACATAATTGGTAAAATGGATCTAATTATCTCATGTCTCATGCAATAGGAAAAAGATAGTGGGGTCTATTATTTTTTTTAAAGAAAAAATAGTGGACCTCAATGCTTTATCTTTGTTGCATGAGATGCAACATAAGATAATTATTTTCTTTGATAAAAATATAAAAACTCGTAATGTAGAAATTAAAAAACAAGCCCTATTTACCAAAAAAAAAACAAGCCCTAATTTTTATTTTTATTTCATTTTTTACTGAAAGCCGTATATATGGGTTGCAAATTTTTAAGAAGAAAAGATGAGTCACTCTTCTCATAAATATTATAAAAAAGAAAAGAAAAGGGAAGACAAATGGTCCATGAATTGCTTCCGCAAATGGATTCACTATATAATAAAACCGGAAAATGAATCCATTAGAATATAGATTTAGGAAAAGAAAACCTAAGGAGCACATGTGGCATATATAAATGAAGATTTTTTTTCTGCAACCGTATTATTGATTATTGATTACCCCACCAGTTAGGTTGAGCGGCTTTTTAAGATCATGAAAAACAAATTTCTTACCATTTAAATTAATAATTGTTGGCTTAGAAGAGGATTTAGATATGCTGATTTTTTTTACTGGCATAAATGTGGTACGAACCAGCTAATATTCAATGAACAAGTAATCAGAAAATTTGTTAGTAGATATTTTGTATATTTCAAGAGCTTAAGAATTATTTAGTATGGATTACATTACTATATATTGTAATCTCCGGCCTAAACCTGTAACAAATTTAATTAGATTAATTACTGGTGAGGTCAGGAAAATTTTCCACTTGACTCGAGGAAAAGAAAAAGTTTGCCAATGAATAGTTGTAAAGGAATAAAAACAAGGATATACAGATCATGCCAGCTTTTGAAGTGAGCTTCATTTTCAAGAATTCCAGATTCAACCAAAACAAGAAAATAATTGAAAAAAAATAAAATTGGGTTCTTAACTTAAAAGGAAAAAAAATTGAAGTGCAAGAGAAAGAATATCAAGAAAAGTTCGCATAACCTACCCTGTTCGTCAACCAACCTCAAGTTTTTCTTTCCATTTCTAGTTAATTTCATACTTTTAATAATGAATTAAATTTTTCTACAAAGAAGCTATACTCACTATCATTTTTTCTTACCACCTCTTGATGCCAACTTTATTATTGTTTCTATTTCTTTTTATATTATGTAAACATATAAGTACAAACCTCAAATATGTAGTATGTCCAGTCTGTAAGACAAAATGATCAAGAGCCATCATATGCCGTACCCATCATTGAATTTGCAGTTGGGATTTTCAAGTGTGATAGACATTGGTTGGTAACGAGCAAAGTTCACTGGATATAAGTGGATGGATTCATGAATTCACTGCTTTAAGGTTTTAGGTTGTAACATGGTATCAGATCCACTTGATATTAGTGGTCTAGCTTAGCCCATTGGTGGGTGGTCTCCCGCCACGGACTCCTCTTGGGCCCGTCTGACAGTGGTATTAGAGCCGGGATAGGCTCGAGCTAGCCTAGTGATTGGCTAGAGACGGGTTGAGTACTTGGACCTGGGATACTTGGTTGAGGGGGAGTATACCAATGTTGGGTTTCACACTAGATGAGGAGATTATTGAGATATTCAAGTGTGATGAGTCTTACATTGGTTGGTGTTGGGTGTGAACTTGGTGGTTGCTTAAAATATTCTTATAAAGGGTGTTCCCATACTTCAGTTCATCAAAAGAAACACATTCGTTCTCTTGACTTCAACCCAAGTGCGCAAGTGCACGCATCAAGTAATAAATGAGACTATTAGTGCCCATATCCGTTCCCACGCAAAGTGTACAGAGAGATTGAGTTAGTGGAGCAGGTGTATGTAATGTTCTCATTCCGTTTTCCTTTTTCTACTTTTCTCAAATGATTACATCATCATTCGTTCCCCTGCTGTGTTTTTATTACAAAGATATAAACACGTGTTTTTAATGCTAAAGTTGCTCATCAAATGAGGGAACGGATGGTATTTTGCCATTAAAATGGGCTTAGATGAGAACGAATTCTCGCCCCATCAGTTGGTAATGGGCTAAGTGAAGTGGATATAAGTGGATGAATCCAAGAACCCAATGCATTAAGGTTTTGAGTTGAGACATGGTGTCATACCTACTTGATATGGTAATGTAGCCTTAGCTCACTCCTCCTAGACCCGCCTGACATTCTGGTCCACAAACTTAACCTGTTGGCCACAAACAAGGTACACAAGAAGCTTCAAAAGTTGATTTCTTCACGCGACCAGAGTCGTCTCCCATCTTAGTGGTGGCAAAGCGGGCACCCCACCCAGCCCCGCCATCAGCCCAATTAAAAAATGAGTCAACCTCCATGCCCTGCTTTTGAAAGTGAGTTGAAAAACTCAACCCGCCCCGCCAACCCACCAAATAAGATATATGCATTCAAGGAGTAGTAGGTTGGAAGAAAAGACCAAGGATAGCTACATTAATCACCATTACAAGGATTCAGCAGACACAAAACAACGTTAGGATAACTAATAATAAATTATGACTAAACAAAAAATTTAGGAGTAAAGTAAAATTTTATGTATAAAAAAAAAGCGGGATATACGGGCCAACCTGCCCCGTAGTGATTCAACTCGCTTTTGACTCGCACTTAGACAGGGTGGATTACACGGGTTATAAAACATAACCCACCCCGCCATATTTGGCGGGCGGGTCGGGGCGGTCGCCACCTCTATTTCTTAATTCAATCATTCTCATTCTCCTTCTCATCAATTGCTTTTTCTCATCAAATTTGAGTCGTGCTTAAAAGTTATCAATAGTTCCCATCGTAAGTCTTCTCATTTCAGCCTGTTTTTTAGCCCACTCAAAATCACGGGGTAGGAAAAAATTTCCAAACTGCTACGACGTCAAACCCGCTGCTAGTTGCAGCGGGTTTCATTTGCCACGTGGTACGAAACCTAAGGCCACCAAACTCGTTGTCATTGGCTAACAACAGTCTGACTAGTTTGACCACCAAACTCGTACTCGACAATAAGTTTGGTGGTCAAACCAGTAGATTGCTATCAGCCATTCTGAAACTCGCCACGAGTAGCAGCAAGTTTAAAGGTATAGACTCACATGATGATGACACGTGACACAAAATTGCGATATATTTACCGTAAAATTTTGGAAGGTCATAACTTTTGATTTGAGTGTCCGAATAAGGTGCTTTCTTTTTTGATTTCACGTAACTTTTGAGATTTATGCATTGGCAAGTCAAAAATTTCCTAAAAATGTTTCCTTGTGCCCCATTTGGCATATTTTATCTTTGTGAATGATGTTATTTTATTCTTATTCTTATTTTTACTTTTCAACACTAACAAATAATCCTCCTAGAATTTGTCAGTGCATAGATCTCAAAAAGATATGTGAATTAAAAAAAATTATCTGATTTGGATACTCGAGCCAAAAGTTATTATCTTTCGAAATTTTACGATAAAACTTTCTAAATTTTGTGCTATGTGTCATAACCTGTAAGTCTAGAAAGTCTCTACCATTGATAGTGAGTTCCATATTGGTTGCCACGTGTCCTAGCACAGCTGAGCGTTCTGACTGTTTTGATCACCAAACTCTCTGTCAATGATAGAGTTTGGTGACCTTAGGTAACGTGACACGTGGCAAACCATACTCGCAACAACTTTCAACGAGTTTGGAGCAATAGCAATTTGACAAAATTTTTCAACCCCGTTACAATCCGGTATTTTTTTTTGGTAAAACGTGGCGCAGTGGCCAAAATCCCCTCAAAATTCGGCCTTTACGACTTGTTATTCGACTTGCAATCCTCGAGTTTTAATTTTCAATTTTCTTAATTGCGCATGGCTCACAGCTCAAGGGACAAAAGGGAATCCAGTAAGAAAAGAAATCTCAAACAAGTGCTACCGAAAGTTGGCTAAGCTTTTAACAAGGGCAAGATCATGGGCTGATTATCATGAGAGGTACTTTTCTTCTCAAGAACAGTACACGAGGTATATTGAAATGATCACTTCCCAATGCAAGAGAATTCTGGACTTCAAGGTTTTGGATTTGAGTTTTTTTTTTTTAAAGGAAAGGTTTTCAGTCGTGCAATATGCTGCAAAATATGGGTTGTATACTTCTGAAGTCAACATAATTCCTAAGGTGCTTCTAATGTATTTGAGCAATTCATTTTGAGGTGCTTCTTTAAGGAGGAGAGCTGAATTTGCCTTCATCTCATGCTGCTTTCACACATGATTCCTCCCCTCACAAAGCTCAAGTCTTTAGACATATATAGAATGAGGCAAACCAAGCATGGCATACATTTCTATAAAGAAAATGTAATATGATTTAAAAGAGCTCGTGGGGACATGAGGGAAGCGAGGGGATGATGATGAAGAAAGTTGAGAAGCATTGAGAAGGACATATATAGAGCCTGCAAGTGAAGAACAAGAGAACATTGAGAAGCATGCTGCTCGTTTCAGTCTCTAGCTCAGCAAGAGAAGAAAGTTGCCCTTAATTCGCATTCATGGCAGTGTACACGAGTTCTCAAAACTGCTTTTGGAAACAGTGATAACATATTCTCAGTGTCAGACTAACGGATTTCTACTAGTTGTCACTTGTGCTTTGCATTGAAGCATGTTTACCAGTACTCACTAATACAAATGTTAATCATCGTGCTGTATTTTTGTCAATGTTACCCTTTAAACTGAATTAGATGGTTTTGAAACTGCGCACTGGGCAACCTCAATATCAAATAAACAACAAAATTTCCATTTTTTACTTGTGAGTTGCCATCAATGGTACAATTTATTCCCTCCTATTCTGATTTGGCAAATGTAAAGCTTTCAAAATAAACCAAAAAAGAGATGATGACAACAATAAGATAACAAACCTCGAGGGAAAATGCTTTTTTTCTCTATAGCATTCAGCAGACACTTACAATATTGAAACAACGCCTATACGGTGATCCCTCTGTGTTTCACTAGAAAAGCATTTGTCTTCATTATTTTCATTTTTCCATACGATACTTAAACGAAACCAGACTGTCAATACTCGAACGAAAGTGGAACAATGAACAGCATCCTCTAGTTCACAACAGGAAAATGTTACTAACTAACAAGACTATTGAACAGTAAATCAATCCAATTTTGGAAATCAAATTGGCACCATTATAAGTCTCTGGAACAAAGCTTCCTTCAGAGGTGTTAGTGGTCAGTACGACAACAATCCAGTTATCTTCTGAACCAATACCAATTCCTGTATACTTTGAGTCATTGAGATTATCCGAATAGTGAGATTGCGTAAAATTAGTGAGGACAAGGCTTGGAACCAGGCCAGGAACACAAGCAGGCATTACAGATCCATCCCTTGTGTTAGAAATATTCAAGTGGCATTTAGTTAAAAGGTCTGGGTAGTTGGAGAACTGAGGCTCTGTACCTGGTACGGTGTTAGCACCTGTGGTATTTGTACAGGGTTGACCCTTGAACTGGTCAGCTATTTCTCCAGCAAAGCAATTTGCATTTTCATTCTTTGTTAGAGATGTCAAATTTAATGATGCCCTATACTTGTTGATTCCCTGATACAGATCATCTTCCTCACCTGCAGGGGGTATTAAGGTTAGTACAGTCTCAAAATGTCAACTTCAATGGGTATGGTTATATCTGTGTGCATGTTTGTGTGCAAGGATACGAGACAGGAGGGATTTTCATGGAACATAAATAAATAATCTGACTTTATTCTTTATTATTTGATATATGGTGCTATTACTTCATAGAGTCACATGAAAAGTAGAAAAAGGCTAGACAGCTGCAGATCAATACATCCTGTGATCTGTAGAGACATTTCACTCAGATAAGTTACATTGAAATCTAAATGAATTATACCTCTCCAAAAGCTATTTAATTTACAAGTTAATTCCAATATAACATATGTGAATCAATCAGAAGAGGAATCCGTGACCTGTAGTAGCAAGCTTTAAATACTTTATCAACAAGACTAATGAAAAATAAATCACTAGCAACAATGCAACATGGAACTCCATGGTAGTCATATTAGCAGACAATTAGGTTATTCTATGAACATCAGGTCAACCTGCTGATACCCAATGGCCAAATTTGAATAAAAACTACCAGCGTTTTTTAATTAAGAAAATTGCAAATATTTTCTATTCACAAGCAATAGCATGATGCAATTGAAAATTTCAAAACTGTTGTACAGCAATCAGCAGCACTCAACTCAAATGAGCAGATCTAAAAAGATCAACATCAAAAGACCCAGTAATGACAGATCAATCGCTCTCCTAATCACAGATCTAGCTCACATTGCCTATTGAGAAACTCAAAAAGAGACCGAATACCCAGAAAGTAAAAGACTTAAAGTCGTAAACTTGATGTCAGTTTAGCAGATTCTAGTTCACTGGGTGAAGCAACCATGCAATAAAAGCTTGATAATATAACAAGTGAAATCCATTAGAGGATAATGAGAATTAGCTGATCCAAGAAAGACTGCAATATGTTAAGAGAGTGTACTTACCATGGTCGCATTTAACTGAGTGATTCAGCAAGAGAATGGAAGAAAGGAAGAGTGAGAAAAGCACAAAGAATTGGAACAACACCATTGTTTGTATTGTGGGTTGAAGCGGAGAGTTGAAATTGAATGAAAATGGTACCTATTAAAAGCTGTAGACAGCACAGTACCGAACTGACGAAGACGTCACAACTGCAACGACAACGTTTTATTCATTATGTTTACTAACAGACACAGTTGCTATTAATTAATAAAAAAATTTGTACCAAAAAAATAATTAATAAAAATTTGACCAAATATAAAATGACTACAAGTCTACAACATTCAATCCACTCTTACAAACATACATAATTTTATATTTCTAAATTTTTTATTTTTTATGATTCGAAAAAAAAATTATTTTTTATCCGCTTACAGTCTATATAACCCCAAATATAAAATAAAGTATTTCTCCATTATCAAATAAGAAATACTACACGACCTAGACTTTTTAGCGTGTACAAGGTAATATTTTAAAAAAAAAAATCTCAATTTAAGGAACAAAAATAATTATATATAATATCTGGTAAAATTAATTTATTTTTTCGTTTTAAAAAATGAACTGGAAACATAAATGGATAAAAATAAAAAATAACTATTTTCCTTATATCCTAAATATCAAATATATAAAGAGTTCGGTTTTTCTGCTGTCAAGATACATAAAATATTTACATTGAGCCCAAAATAATGTCGTTTTAGGGCAAAAATCAATGTATTTCTGCAATTATAATTTATTCCATGGTTATAATAGTCTTTCTCATAATAGTTTTTTAATTTTCAACCTAAAACGACGTCATTTTAAGAGTGAATGTAGATAATTTATCTACATTAACTGCAGAAACATTAAAGCCTATATTTTATGAAATATATCATCAGGTTTAACTACAAATTATTTATTAAATATATATTCTTTTATAGGAAATAAAAATAAATTATATAATCACACACAAAATAAAAAAAAATCATTTATTCCCAAAAATAATTCCAAAAAACAAAATAGTTATTGTACATTCCCCTGTTGCCACGAGTCAACAAATCCAACGTGCAATGCAGTTATTGTTCCAGACTTACACTTACTGCAAAAAATATAAAAATAAAAATCGTTTGGATTTTATTATTTTTCTGATTCAAAAATAAAGTTCATTGTTTGTTAATAAAAACAAGAACCTTTTCAAAAAAAAAAAAAAAAAAAAAACCCAAAGGTTCAAAGGCAGACCCACGGGAGGGGCTAGGGTTGCCACCGCCCCTCCTGATTTTTAGAATTTTTTTTACTATATATATATATATATATATATATATAATTGTGGGCTGGAAAATAAAATTTAGACTAAAAAATTTAAGTAATTGGGCTGAAAATTTCAAAAAAACTTAAACAAACATAACTTTAGAAATTGAAATTGTAGTTTTTTACAAAAGAAGGAGCAAACTTTTAGGGCTCAAGAAAAAATTTCAGAATCAGGCACACTTGATTATCAAGAGGGTGGCGAAAATCATTGTCAAAGAAGACAACAGCAAAACACACAAACAGGGGTTCCAATTTTTTGAGCTAAATATTGGAGAAGAAAAAGAACCTGCATCCATTGTCGAATAGAAGATAATCAAGACCAGACTTCAAAATTGAATGGAAAACCAATTTCTTGATGATTCTTTGATTACATATGTTGAAAAAGAAATTATTTTGAATTTTAGCACAAATTCAATTATAGAAGAGTTTAATAATATTAAAAAAAACGTAGAGAAAGATTTAAGTGAATTGACCTTAAATTTTGTAATAAAACTCTTTCACACTTTTTATATTAGGTTCATATATGATTGTATGTACTTTTCTTAATAATATAAAAAAAAAAAATTTGCCCCCCTCTATAAAAATTTCTGGGTCCGGCCACTGCAAAGGTCTCGAACCCCTAATATTTTAAATGTACCAAAAAAGAAAAACAACAAGAGCAATGTTAATTGAACAGTAACAACCCAAATCCCTAACATTGTAAATAAAGTTCACTGGCGGTCATAATTTACTTTCATCATAACGAATTACTGTTAAACTTATAAAAAAAATTTGAACTTGGTAACTTCGTAATATATAAAGGGCCTTTTCTCCTCTGGGCAGCTTCAATCGTCCGCTTCATATCCTCACATGTTTCACTACTTCAATTAGCTAGTATATAAATTACACTACTTAAAAGAAAAGAAAAAAGAACAGGAACTCTACATGTTATGCCAAAACTATGCATAATGGGTGAAACCTCAGCATATTGCCACCCCTTTAAGAGAATGATAATTGCGGTTGTACGAGTGTCTAGTTAAAATTTGGACAATTGAACAATTTAAAGAAAGTTGAATTGAGATTTAGAGTGATATACCTTAGAGAAAGGAATATTCCGTGTTGGTCCAACCACATACAGTTGAACCTGATCCAAATAGATGCTATTTGATGTAGTGACCGGATATCAACATATTAGTGCTCTATTATGTGGAATAGTATTGCAGGATTGGATCTTCAATGCGGTAGGACAATATTTTGGCTAGAACAAGTAGTGGTGGGTACGTGCAAGACAATTTAATGCTTAAGTCTGTATTTAAATAATGAGTTTAAGTATAATGAAATTGATGATGTACTTGTGTCTTTGCCTCTCTATTTACAATATGCGGGATGACTTGCTTCTAAACTCAGCGGACAACCTTTGTGTACCAGTACAGTTAATATGCCCTTTGATTATCTGCCTAGGATAATTTGTGCAGCCTATTGGTTTAGGTGGGATATCTATTGGTGAACTATATTGTTGAGATTAACGGTGACAATTTAAATTAACACGACAAGACACAAATTTGACATATACACGAACTCCACACTAATTTGAAAATATGTCAAAATCTTTGACACGAACATGACCTATTTATTTTGCAAATTAACACGACACGACATGAATGACTTGTTATCCTCATAGTGTGTCGCTTATTATGACACAGTACGATACGACATAAATAACTTGTCAACCTCAAATTGTGTCGCTTGTTATGCTAGTTAACACAACACGATACAAATAACTTCTATTAATATTCACATGAGTCAATTTTGTGTTTGCATGTTGACATGCGACACAACACAAATTTTTTCATGTTAGGTTTTATCAATATGAACATAAACATGAATTTGAAAATAGATTAACTACCAAATGGTGGTAGGTCAGTTGGTAGCAAGGGAGCTGAATAAATGAAAAAGAAAGAGCCTCGGTTCAATCCTCACATGCTACCTTTCGGAGTGATTTAAATATCTTCATCACTAACCCGCTCCGCACTCCAGATTGGTCTTATAGCCAGCTCAAAGAGTTGAAGCTTGTGGGAATACCGGGTGGAACCAACTTGTCTCAAAGAGATAATTAGAATTAGATTAACTTCAAAAAAAGAAAATAGATGAACTCGATCACAAGTTTTTTGTGTTGAGTCAATGGATCATGTTAAAAATTATCATCTCTAACTAAGACTTAACTAAAAACTTATGTTTATTGTTTATTCATTAGCTGTGTGAAGAGGTTGATAGTCTTATGTAGCTAAATAATCTTATGGAATTAAGTATATGCGTTTCTAACATTTTTTCTTATTTTTTTGACCGTACTATGCTCATTTTTAAATAGTTTGACTGGATTAATTTCCTAGTCAAACTTATTATCATACTAATGCATTACGACGTGGTAATGATGTCACCAAATTCAAACATGGTAGTTTGGGTACCACGTTTGGTGTCAAGTGTCATGTCACGTCTGAACATGGTAGTTTGAGTACCATGTTTGGTGTCAGGACAACCAAAAATGTCTCTGTTGTGCGTCAATATATACCCTCTCCCTCAAACGAGATCAACTCACAAATTCTTTCTTATTCAATGTACTTTTTACTCACTTCTCACTTACCTAATAAATTCTCTTCTTCCAATAATTTTGTTTTAAGTTCAACTTTCTTCTTCAAATACGTAATTTTTGCTCACTTACCTGTTGAATTCTCTTCTTCCAATAATTCGTTTTAAGTTCAACTATCTTCTTCTTCTTCAATAGCCACCGACTCTTTTTTTGGTTAATTTCATTTTTTTATATCAGTAAGGAGAGTGTTACCTGAATTTGTTAGTTGCGGTTTAAATTAAATTTCAAATGAATGTGTCAAACTCAAACAATGTCTGATTTTCAATTCACTTTTACAAATAATAGTTACGGTTAAATCCACAAATATATAGCATTCACTTGAAATTTAATTGAAATTGCAACTAACAAATTCCGGTAACTCCCTCCTTAATGATATAAAAAATGAAATAAAAAAAAAGACGGTGGCTATTGAAGAAGAAGATAGTTGAACTTAAAACAAATTATTGGAAGAAGAGAATTCATCAGGTAAGTGAGCAAAAATTACGTATTTGAAAAAGAAAGTTGAACTTAAAACAAAATTATTGGAAGAAGAGAATTTATTAGGTAAGTGAGCAGTGAGAAAAAATTATGTCGAATAAGAAAGAATTTATGAGTTGATCTCGTTTGAGCGAAAGGGTATACATTGACACACAGCAGAGACACTTTTGGTTGTCTTGACACCAAACATAGTACCCAAATTATCACATTCTGACATGGTACCCAAACTACCACGTTTAGACGTGACATGACACCTGACACCAAACGTGGTACCCAAACTACCATATCTAAATTCGATGACATCAATATCGCATCATAATGCATTAATATGGTAATAAGTTTGACTAAAAATTAATCCGATCAAACTTTTTAAAAATAAGCTTAGTGAGGTCAAAAAACCTATTTTCTTACTATTTAAGATTTTCACCTGGCCTGTTCTGAGTTGCTGTTTTAGTGGGCTTTCCTGTCTCTGATTTTGGGTCCATATCAAATAGAGTAAATGAATATAACTAGGTATCAATCATAAATATTAGGGGTGTTCATCAACCGATCCAAATTGATTCAAACCGCGGTGACCGATCCGAAAAACCAATAATCGAAAAAATCGAAAACCGAAAAAAAAACCGCAAATTTTAATTGGATTGGATTGATTTTTGGATTGGTTGATGAAAACCGATCCAATCCAAATCAATCCAATATATTAATTTCCCTCTACCTACTTGGGTCTTTCGTCAATCATAGCCTAAAAATTTCTAAACCCAAGACCCATTAACCCATCAACTAAATAAAAAAAAATCTAGTTACATCTCATCAACAAGATTTCGTGTAGAGTTTCATATCTCATTGCAAAAAAAAAATGATATTATCGTTTACTGATGCTTTTATATTTCAAAAAAAATAAAATTTACAAAGCCAATATATACAAAAGATGTTATTTACACGATAATTATAAAACAAATTTTAAGATTTTTAAAAAATTGAAAACCGATCCAATCCAAACCGAAAAAAATTGGATCGGATCGGATTTGAAAAAAAATTCAAACCGAAGGGATTGAATCGGATATTTTTTGTTTCCAAAACCGATCTAATCCAGATCGCGAACACCCCTAATAAATATGATTACAAAATGCAGTTAGTTAATCATAAAACTAAGATTTTTTTTACCAACAAAGCCCGACATAGTTAGTAGATAGCTGGGTCCTTTAAGCATGCTGATAGAGTTCGAACATATTTCCAAGAATCTATCATTTGTTGATAGATTTCGGCCGAGGGGATACTCTTGGAATAATTTCCAAAAAAAAAATATTTTTTTTTAAAAAAAAGTGTACGATGTATTAGTATGTCAATCAATACTAAGCCGTTAGCTCCCGCCGCAAATCCACCTTTTTTTAGGAGAAAGTTTAAAATTTGTCAAATTCAACAACTGATTACTGAATGCTGCCTGCCACTACCAGCGGTTAAGAGTTTCCTTATACCTTGTAGATTGCAGACTGAACATTATATTCCTTTAACTTGCCAGCATTGTGGTTGATAAATATTTCAGCCAACTTATATATTTCAGCTTCGAGATTCAAGCCAACTATACGACCATATCACAACCATGCTAGGAACATTTGGCTGGACATTAAAAGTAATACTTCCGACGTAAGAGCCAAAAGTAATACATAATTTTCAGAAGTAAACAAAACGCAGCAGTAATACTTCAGATGTTGGACAGAAAACTAACACAAAAGCCGTGTATGTAGGTTGCCTCCATAAAAGTTAAATGATCGTGACTAAACAATATGCTGACCCTCTGAGAGGCTTCAATAACTCTCTTGTTGAACTTTCACTCAGCATTCTCAAGCAAAATCTTTAGCACTCAATTTAAGATAAAGAAACTTGATATTTGCCATCATATGAAACACAAAACACTAGGATCATGAGATTTAGAAAGGGTGCCTCGTTGGCCATGGCATTTAGAGTGAGAAGATAACAGAGAGAAGCTCAAGTGAACACCTAGGGCATCCAACTTCATAACCACAAGCAGCTCTTCAATGGAGAAAGCCAAAAAATTATAATAACAAAAACTGGAGAGGGGACTTATGAGTGCCCAACATGCCCTCCCATTATTGGTCACGTACCAGTCAAGGCCAACAAGCTGCCACTCAACCACACCAATCCAAATACCACAATAATACATCACTAACAATATTGTTCTTATCGTGTTCATCTAAATCTTACATTAATCGACCAGTTTTATGAACATAATAATATTCATAATTAATGATAGCCCACATTTGTAAAATTCCAACAAATAAAGTGTGTACTAATCAATAAACTCAACAGAAGTGAGCATATTGCACTAAAATGAAGTAGAAAGTGAATGTGCACTATGAACGAGTGTGATAAAAATTTTGAATACCTGAGAAGACACCAGTGCAAGGACCCTCTCCAAAGAATCTATCATTTGTTGTTATTTGTGAGCTGCACCTGCTACAAACTTGATATTCGAAATAAGCATCCAAGGGTATTGGCATATGGGAGCAGAGGCTACTTTTCTGATTGGGCAGAAAGCGATTGTTGAGATTTATTTGGGTGCAGAAAATTGCTCAGCATAAAAAATGGCATTGGCTTTGAACTATGAAAGATTTTCCTAATATGGGTCGGTTTCAGAACAGAGGAAAACAGGGAAATATAGAGAGAACAGAGAAAAAAATTTCCTAATACTATGCTCCTCAGCCCCAAAAAAAATTTTTGCCCCCCTCCGCCCAATCCTGGCTCCGCCGCTGCTTTCATCCTTTCCCTAACCCTTGTAATGCTTTTGATTTTGGGAATTACTAGCTTAGCCAAAAAATTTACATTCATACCTTAATAGCTTCTCTCCCCAAAACCACGAATCACCAAATGAAGCAGGACTTACAAAAACATTAATAAAACTCCCACTTAAAGTAAATTCACATTGGCAAGAAATCTGCAAGTTGATTTCTGCTAGTACAGCATTTAATAATTTGTTTCTTTTTGCCACTTCACCTATTGTCCCTTTTCTTAAAGTCGGGAAGAAGAATAGAAGAACCCATCTTTCTATTTAATTCAATATTGTTTTCCCCTACTGATCATATGGGTTCACTATGACAAACCCAATATAACCAAATAACCAATGTGGGTTGCAGACCGAAAACTCTGTAAGTTATCCCTTTTATGACATTTAAATCATGTAATAGTTGTTCTGTTACTATACTTGTCTGATTTCTTTGACAAATTAGTAATGATCAAAATTCAAAAAAAGAAAGCAAAGATAATGAAGGAAGAGCACTACAAGACCACAGAAATAGAAGTTCGGTTTTGACAAAGAATAAATCAGCAAAGAAAAACAAGATCAAAACCAAGAAAACAGGGCAATCATCAGAAATTGCTAACCTGGACTAGTGCTTGGCACAAAACACTGTTGTCTGAGCAAATAAAGGGGACAACTTCCGTTTCTTGATACCAGAACAGCTTCTTTGCCGGATACAGGAGAGGGATCATTGAATTATAAGTCATCTCATGTTTTCCCATGCCTTGAAAAGCAAATAATTGAGTAGTTTTTCCAACAAAGGAAAAAAAAGATAAATACACTAAATATGCCCACCTTTTTTGCACTGATTTCTCAAAACAAAATCAAATTAGATTGACTTCAGAAAAAAGTCATAGTAAAATATTAATCCTAGAATTAATTAATTTTCAAGCTACAAAAACTCACATCAAATTTAATTTAAACAAATAAGCTTCATTTTCCTTCACTGGAAAATGAGCTAACTACCGTGAACACTGAACACTCAATTATACTTACAATTTATTTTTTTGATATAATTAATTATAATTGGCAAGAGAAAATAATACCAGAAGCAAACATTTGAAACAAAATGGATAGAAACAGAGTAACTGATTATAAAGGAAACAATTCGTATTTCAGGTTTGAAGGAAGTTACCATATCTAAGTCAACCATTTCAAGAGAAGCTGAGTTTCGTAATATCATCAGTAGCTTCACAAGATAACTTCGTAGGTACCACTGGCTCTGCTGGTAGTTCAACTAAACTGTAAAATACAAGTAGATGCTCAAGTAAATGAGCAGATGATTGAAAGCGTAGCATACACAGTCAAAAGAATTCAGAAGGGAGTCCAGAAAGTGCAGATTGAAAAATCTAGTTGGTTAATGTAAGTTTCAGTATAGAAGTTTGAACACACAATAACCGGCTTATGTTAGAAATTTATTTTACGGGGAATATTAATTAATTAGTTTTGTATTTAAAATTAATCGGGTCAATGGATATTTCAATATTATTATTGTAACTAGCTTATTGTGATCATATTGAATTGGGCTTCTGGCATCTGTTGTTATTGGGCCTAGTTGGGCAGCAGTGTAGTCTTTAGTGTGACCTTGGTTTCTCATGATTGGTGGACCCAGTGGACACAAACTCTTTTCTGGGTTATTAGCTAGGTCTCATCTCTAGCCTATATATATTGGAGTTAAGCTCCATAAGTCATGATGCTCCCATCGCTGAGGCTGCCTTTACAAAAGTAGGTGATAGAGAGGAAGATCTGGCATGTAGTTCCCTCCTTTCTTCCGCTTTGTGATGATTCAATAAGGTACACACACTTCCAACTTTGATATCATATTGTTTAGATATTTTATAATTATATACATGATTCAGGATTAAAATATTTCTCTCATTTAGTATCAGAGCCTTATGTATATGATTATAGGATCCATGTTGTTGAATGGAATCAAAGAATTTGGGATTTTTTTATGCATTATTTCATGATTTTTTTTTTGTCTTGAATTAAGAAACTTAGGGTTTTGCTCTACACGTCGAAATCTTTACGTTAATATTTACTGAGTTTTTGTTAGCTTCAATTAGCTATCCGACCTAAGTTTGCTATAGCTACAGTACCTTCATTCTAACATGTAAATGGCTTCTTCTTCTACGTTGTTAACCCTTTATATTTCATTTTGTTGGGTTATTTAAAATACTTTGCGATAAAACATGGTTGCATGTGCTTGTCAGTGAGATTAAACTTCTCATTATTGTTTCCGCTTTTTGTTAGTCTGTCGTTTTTACATTTTTTATTTTGTTTTTATTTTTAGTGAATTGTCGTTTTACCATTTGTCTTGCGGTATACTTGGTTAGCTATGAGATCTTTATTTTTATTTGTCTATGGCGTACGGAAGTAACGTAGAAGAGAATGAAATGGATTAATAAATTTTAGAAATATGGAATTCCCTATAAATTACGTTCAAGCTATCGGTATCCAGAAATTGGAGAAGGAAGACCTATAATAAGGTAGCTGGTGTATCTGCAGTATTACGTTAGTGGTTGGTTTTTTGTTACTTTGACAAGTTGATTTATTTATTTATTTTATTCAAAACTTTTGCAGAAGTCCACGGAAGTTTTGTAGTGAAAATTTGTTTGTTTGTTATAATATACTGTTCCATTTTTTTTTTCAGTTCCGATTTTCATGGCCAATTTCTGTTTACTTGAAATGTTTATCAATAGATATATCGTGGGCACGATTTTCAAGGCAAATTTCTGTTTACTTGAAATGTTTATTTGTTTTATCAGTTCCGATTTTCAAAGGCATGATTAAATATTTTACCGTTTTGTTTACCAAAAAAAAAAAAATATATATATATATATATATATATATATATTTTACCGTTTGAACATATACATCTATTAGTGCCAAAATAATAGATGATCCAGGGTATCAAAATTTGGTATTTGTCTTATTATATTAAATGTTGTGTCATGGCCATAAGTGTTAGATACTTTTTCGTGATATTTTTTGCATGATATCAGTTACTTGAAGTAATATTCCGTGGAACATAACCATTACTGTTTTGTTTAGTGGTTTTGCTGTAAACCCATGATATTAACTTGTATGTTAGTGTATATATAGTATCACTATTACTGTTCCGCTTTTTCGTTTTTTGTTTTGCCAATTCCGATTTTCAAGGCACGGTTTTTTATTTCAACGGAAACTTCTTGTTATATAAATAAATTAACAGATTATTATATTATTTTAACAAGAAACGATTTTTTCGGTATTTTACACTCAGGGAATTGAACCAGACGTGAAATATTTCTATTCATATATTTCTAATGACATATCAGTGTTCATATACCTTCTAGATAACCTTCATCGTGATATAATATTACTGTTCTTTTTTTACCGTTTGAATGACATATGACAATAGATATCTTGAATGACATATAACAATAGATATCGAGTTATTATATTGTTTATATTTGGTATAGGGATGTTATATTTGGTATATTGTTATTATATTGTTACTGTTCATATACCCTCTGTCCACAGTACCGTTTCGGGATGTTACATATAATATTGTTATTATATTTGGTATATATATATATATATATATATATATATATATATATATTTAGGATATATCTATTCTGTTAGATATATATATTTTTACCGTTACATTTTTTTGTTGTTGACTGATTCAATTTAGTAGATATACTTCTTGAATCGCATCGTCATATTTGTTTGAAAAAGATATATCTTACTGTTGTCTAATAAATATATCAATTCCGATTTTATCGATTCCGATTTTTAAGAAGATTGTAACAATAAGATATATCTTATCTTTTGCTTCCAGTAAAATCAAATGGGTTTGCAGTAACGGATTCAAATGTGCGAAGATTAATAAGCTTCAACAATAAAATTGGTTTTATATTGTTCCTATTATTATATTATTGAGTAGCATATCCATGCTGTATTTTAAATATACGCTGCATTATTTGAATTTTATATAATAATTTTAAAATTGCTTTGCACATCCAGTAATGATATAAACAAAATATTGTTTTGATACACAATTTTAATATTTGTGGTTGACAATGAGTGGAATTTTTCTTGATTTACAAATGCAATATTTTTTTTAGAAACACATGTTGGAAAAGTGTTTTATGTTGTTTGAGCATGTTTGGTTCATGAGTTATTATTATTGTTTAATAATTATTATATGTTAATTACCTGCCCAAAAGGGACTTTTTAACATATAATAATAAATTACATGAAGATAAATATTATTGATGGGAATATGTTATTATTTATCTGCCCAAAGGGGATAAATTTTTTGAAAATTACATATGATGCATTTATGTTGAAATTAAGGAGATATATAATTTATAAAGTTTATCTGCCCAAAGTTTGATGAAAATGGAAATTTAATCAGAATTAATTAGAGGATTATGACCTGATTGATTGGTGGAATTATGAGAAAAATGAAAATTTAATCAGAATTAATTAGAGGATTATGACCTGATTGATTGGTGGAATTATGAGGAAAATGAAAATTTAATCAGAATTAATTCAAGGATTATGACCTGATTGAGTAGCTGGCTATGTAAAGGAAGCAGAAACTCTAAAAGAGGATCATCTTTTGGCAAGGAGAAATTGGAGAGGAAGCTCGCTCTCGGTGACTGAAGATTCAAGACTTCTTCTTCTTCCGGTTTTACATTTTCATGAACTCTTTCTCATTATTTAAATTGTCAGACATGAATATGTCTGACTAGTCTTTTTTTATTGTGGTAAGGGTCACAACCCTTGATGTGAACCCCTTGTATTTTGGTTAAGTTTATGGTTAATTATTCAATTGAATTTATTTTACTCTGTTTTTTATCCCATAATTCTTTTAGAATTCGCGACTCTATTAGGATTGCGAGGGTTAGGGTTCGCAATAGGGATATTGGGATTCTAATTCCTGACAAAGGGTAAGATAACTGTTCATGTATGCACTAGGGATAGGCTATATGAACTGCAAATGTGGAAAATTCACTGGGCTTAAAGATTAACTTGAAAAGGGATTTCTAAGAGATTAGAATTCTAATAGGGTTAATAAGGTTAAGATCACTAGGGGATTAGAGCTTAACTAATTAATTATAGATGGTGAATTGTTTGATCAATTGGGTAATTAAACATAAATATTAATCATTATTACAAGGTGGGGATCGGAAATGTGTTGGAGTCCTTTACTGCAATAGTTTCTTTACAATATTTTCTCAATTCTCAACTTTTGATTTTAAGTTTTCAATCTTCTCTTTGAATTGTTCACGAAATATTGAATAGTTCACAATTGTTACAACCACTATTACTTTCAAATCAACTCTTGTTCTTCCATTCTTAAAAGAAACAATTAATTGATATTCGACTCAATCCCTGTGGAGACGATACTCTTCTCACTTTTTATTACTTGGTACGATCGGTGCACTTGCCAATAATTAATTGATATTCGACTCAATCCCTGTGGAGACGATACTCTTCTCACTTTTTATTACTTGGTACAATCGGTGCACTTGCCAATTTTTCGCAACTAGTTTTTAGCGCCGTTGCCGGGGATCGAACCTGGGTCGTCCGCGTGATACGCAAAAATACTCACCACTATACTACAACGAAAATAAAACTATGAAAAGAGCAAATATAATTGATGAGACCAAAATAAAACTCCACATAAAGATTTTTCTGAGATTTGAGGAATTGGAAAGAGCAAATATTTTCCAGAAACCCTATGAATTGTTCCCTGATGCCAAGTGAACATTCTTCAATCTCGTAAGGGACACCAACAGAAGGTCTACGAGCATTCAATTACACATTAAATCATTCATTTAACAAAATTGAAATGCATTTAGAACCCTAAACAACAGAGCCTCAATCCTAATAAACTAATAGCGGTAGTTTGATAACGAAATCAATTACCCTAACCCGAAAATTTCTGCTTCTTAAAACGACACCCTCACGGCCAGTCGTTACAATTAAATCACACTTTTCTATTCAACATTCGTTAACTTGTTGGCAACGCAAGCTGGTCCGAACGGCCGGTATTAGAAGCTACAAAACCCTCCCTCCCATCCTAACCGCAGAAAGAAAACCGAATAACTATAGGAGAATATTATTAAAATAGCACAATGGTATTTCATTATTTAAAGGAAGAAATTCAATTACTAGTCCGTCTTAGAAACATTTTATATAATACGAATTTAATAAGTCTAATTATTAAATAATATGACATTATCTCGATTATATGTATATTAAAATTTAAATAAATTACTAGTAGCTTGTAGGGAGAGTTCGTTTCAAAAAGGAGCAAATAACTTTGGCTGCCCTTCGCCTTAACTCACCAAGAAACATAAAAACAAACCAAAAAGATTTAATGTTTTTAAATTTACATTACAGGAGAGAAATAAAAATTTAAAAATACTATGTATTTTTTCAACACGGAGATAACTTCATTTTCACATTGCTCATAAAAGACAAAATAGGGAAAGGGTTGACATCGTGTGAAAGGCTGAAAAAATAGATGATCATAATTTATAACGCTCGCTGAGTGCCTGAGATTCATGTGGGTGAACCTAGCCGTTGTTTTCTCTCTCTCTCTTGCGCTTTCATTGATATAACCGATCTATGAATTAAAAATGGAAATGGATTTAAACATTACAGAAATATCTACGATACTACTGTTGTAGCATTCACTCAGTGCATCTATCTAATAAAAAATAAGGAATGACTGTCACACTTTATGGAAAGGAATAAATCTTTACCTAGATTCAGTGCATTTTAGCAATGAGAGCATTACACATCAGAGGAGAGAGAAAAAATTTGACAGAAAAAATAATAATTTATCTGACATGTAATATTTTTTTTTAAAGTGTCACTTGTTAAATAGCAGATGTACCTATTACAGATGTACAGAAGATGCTCTCCAACATGACATAGTCACGTGGCACAATCATTAAAGATATACACTGCATCCCTACCCAAAAAAAAAAGATATACACTGCCTTATGATACTAAGGGTGAAAAAGAAATATAAATTTTCCTAAAAACTATATCAAGAAACTACAAAGTTAACCAATTCAAACAGTTTTAATGTTTTCAAGAGATAAAGACATTTTATTAAACCACAAGGAATGGGGTTTAAATAGCTGAACAAATAAAACTGACCACTATCATCCCTCTCTATTGTTTGATTTTCATCTCTAATCAAAATCAACCTCACAATCCACTGAAGTTCTAGGAAAGCGTTCAATCAGGTCATACAAGTGGTTTAACCTCTCTGGTCCCTCAGGACAATCAAACTCATATTCATTATGGTAAATATATAATGTATCCAAAACAGATGCTGCTCGCAACAAAAAGCGTATGGCATTTAACTCTTCTACATTCCCAGAAAAGCCATGTATCTTGATCGTCTTAAGGTGTGTCCCAAAGCATGCCGGTAAGGGACTAATGTTCGTTGCATCATTTCGAGGCAGACTTGGCAGAGAGACCCCCTAATAAAACACATATTAGCAGCTATCAAGAAAGTTAAGCATTTGCAAATAAGAGTAACATTTCTGGTTTGAACCAAGTTACCATAACAAACTCAACAGTTTCGAGACTAGGTGACTTTCGTAATACTGTCAGCAGTGCTTCACATGTCAAATTTATGGGTGATACTCCAGAGACCACACGAAGCTCAACCAAATTATAAAACAGGGATAGATTCGCAATTAGAAAAGATGAATGACAGAGAGCCTGTGACATACACAACCAAAAAAAACTCAAAAGGGTCTTCAAAATACATTTAAGAATCTATTTAATAAATGTTTAGAAGATGAGACCAAACCTCAGCAGCACTGTCGTTGAGTGATAGCTTTTGCACATTCGGGACGGCTTTGAGAAGTTTGAACACAAAAACACCAGCGACCAAGTTATTATTGTCAGCTGGATGAACCTGAACAATTGCATTAACTACTGAAGTTGCGGAATGTAAGAAATAATCATTTAAGAGGTCACCATCATAAGAAAATGTTTTCAGGTTAGTTCCCATGATCACTATTCGACAGAAGTTTGGAACACCCTGACCATTATCCGAATGATTATCATCATCTTTATAGTCATCCTTCCACTCCCTTATGATCACTCTCTGAAGCAATGGACAAGCAATACAAACATTTCTAACATTCATCCAATTACAATCAGTTAGGTTCAACTCCTCTAGGGAAGGGCAATTAGAGAAAAGATTTTGCGTTGAGCAAGTAGCTGGGAATATAACATCTTTCAAAGTCAAAGTCCTAAGACTTCGAAAACAAATGAAAGAAGGAAGATTGATAACTTGCTGCATACATAGTTGAAACTTGATTAATGTTTCAGACGTAAACAAGTGATTAGGGAAAACTAGTGATTCCTCAACTCTTTCAAAATCAAGATTTAATTCTTGAATGTTAGGATTGATGAAACCACATAGCCACCTATTGACCAGAGGAGCATCCGCACCAACTTCAAATAAGAGAGAGAATTTTTTAAGATTTGAGGGACTGCAAACCACGAGTAATTTTCCCACAAAGTCTACAATTTTTTGTCGTTTCTCAGGTGCTCCTTCTTCCAACTCGATTTTCGAGATATTCATCCATTGATCGATCCATCTTTTGGATAATATACTGGTCTGAACTGCTTCTTTGGTGGAAAGATTAGATATGATCTCCTGGAGAATCTCATCTGGTAGATCACATATGTTCATGCTTCTTTGGTGCTTCTTATGGTGCTTGTTGTTGCTACTGATCAAAAAATTTGCATCCATGTCTCTAATCACATCCCTGTATGGGAAGAAGAATAAGTTAGGATAATATCCAGGACATTTGAATGTATAACCTATTTGCCTCTTTTGGCCAATGACAATCAAATCTATTAACAAGATCACTTACCCCAATCAAAAGAAAGCTGAGTAAATTTCTCAAAATTTTCATTAATTAAATAAAATTTTAAAATCTTTCCTGTTTCTAATAATCATAAATAGTATATCCCCATGTGGATTGTTGCCCTGTTAAATCACAAGTATTTATTTTATTACCCTTTCTGGCCACCTTTCACGCATTTCCCTGATTTGAGTTAGGAATTGGAAAAAGAAAAAAGAAAAAAATACAATCTTGAGATCCTAGCACAACCCTTTACATTTCACACTAACAAAGCAACAGTGGGTTTCAGTCTTTGAAACCGTGGCACACTCAGGCTCGGCAAAGACATCTTTTTTTTTATTACATCTGAGTTTAAGAAACCTCTCGTAAAACAGAACAAGTTGTTCTCATGGTTTTTTTGACTTGGTAGCAACAATCACAGACAGAGTGAAATCAGCAGCACAAAAATTAAAGTAAAGGGTTTAAGCTAAAGCAGAAACAAAAGAAGAAAAACGATAAAACATATAAACAAATTAGAAGGAATTGAATAACTGATACCCTGAAGTTTACAGCAAGAAGCAGGGTGTATTGAAAATGGTGAACAATAGCAGCAGAGGAACTGTTTCTTCTCCTTTGCAGTTTGCAAGGAGAAAGTAGAGTGACAACTCACTCGGAGTTAATAATTGGATGCGTAAAAAAAGTCACAGCGAGCACTATTTATTAGCGCAGAAGATGATTGAATTGAATAACATTCAAAAATAAAAATTGTTGACGGATTTGGCAAGTAATGCAACAATTTCAGGCAAACGTTCATAATTAAGGAAAAATTTCAAATTAAATTGATAAAATAAATATTAAATAAAAATAAAAAACATTATAAAAGGCAATGAATTCAATTGCATAAAAAGTTGCGGCAAGTTTTTATTTTGTTATGATTACCAATTATTTTAATACGCTAAGTCCATTAAGGGGTAAGTTGTCTAAGGTAATTACTAGAAACAGAAAAAGAAAGTTATTTATTGTATACTATATTATACAATATTTGGAAAGAAATTATTGAAATGTAAATATTTTTCCAATATAATTACTATAAAATTAAGGTCCTTCATACATAATTATTTGGATCGGATTAATTAATGATTTAGTTTAAGACTGATTGGTCATATCGAGTTGTAACAATAGTGCAATGAGTATATATATATATCACTTATCATTTCTCAAGTTATTTAAGATAATTTTATCTCTAACTACTAAATATTAATCATATAAAGATGGATCAATAGTGATAAAGGAAGACAGAGAAAGGGAAATCAAAGATTAATCAATAGTGGGGTTCACTATTTTTAAAAAAAATAATAAATCCCACTACTTTATCTCTGTTGCACGAGAACATGAGATAATTATTTTTCATATATATATTGACAAAGGTAAATGATATGGTGGATGGGTGTTTGATGGTGGTCTCCCAATAGGATGATATAAGACGGTGAAGGTAGGCTTGACGAAGATGACAATGATCAAAGGGGCTGGAGGAGGAGAAAATGTGGGAGAGGAAGAGATAAAAAAGTTTATTTTATCTTACGAATCTTCACCGTTGAATAAAATTATAATCTAATGATATTAAGATAAGTAGGCAAAATAAAAGTAGGCAGAATACTAAATCCTATTAATAATTCTATATTTTACAATATATTTATGAAATGAAATGAAATTGATGAAATGTACTTTCAAAAAGCCACCTTTTTCCAATTTTATATATTTATTTATTCTATATTTTCCAATTTTCTTTTCTTTTTCCAATTCCTAACTCAAATCAGGGAAATGTGTGAAATTCATTCTTCTTCCGATAGTGTGTATAATATACAAGGAAGTGATTACAGACATGGATGCAAAAAAATTTATCAATAGCAACAAGCACCAAGAAAGAGAAGGAATGGTTGAGTATAGCATGAACATACATAATCTACCAGATGAGATTCTATAGGACATCTTATCTAACTTTTTCACCAAAGATGCAGAAGTGTACTATCCAAAAGATGGATCGATCAATGAATAGATATCTCCAAAATTGTGTTGGAAACATGAATAAGCACCCGAGAAACAACAAAAATTTGTAGACTTTGTGGGGGGAAATGGAAAATTACTTGTGATAGAAGTAAAATTTTCAACACCTCTTCATATTTTTTTTCAAATCTAATAATGATATCATGTTAAGTGGTAAGAGAAACATTTTTCCTATATTATTTTATTATTAAATTTATCATTTGTAATGGTAATTATTTTCTTATGAATAAAAATTAGGGGAACCATTAGTAATTATTTAAAAATTGAGAAGTCAAATAGTGATAAATCTTGAAATCTTGGAGAAAACTCTAGAAGGGAAGATGGAGAGAAAGAAAAAAAAAATTAAGAGTGAAGAAACTTTATAACAAGAAAAGATAAAAATGAAAAAATGGTGAAATAACTTCTTCTTTTTTCTTTAAAAATATAAACTTCATGACAATCTTATTTTGGAGAAAACTCTAGAAGGGAAGACAGACAGAAAAAAAAAATAAGTAAATAAACTTTATAACAAGGAAAGATAAAAAATGAGTACTAATAGTGACAATAATTTCTTCTTTTTTTCATTAAAAATATAAAGTTCATGACAATCTTATTTTCGTTATCTTATTTTATTTTTTCTATTATTTCCCTAATTGGTCTCAATGTGATACCATATTCCATATTTTATTTAATTTTATTCATTTCAATAATTTAAATCTTTATAATTTATATTTCAATACATTATAATTATATATATAATTGCTAATTTGTAATTCAAAATTATATATTTCAGTCGTATATATTTTTTAATTAATATTTTGACAATTTATATTAAGTTATAGTTATATTAGGAAATATATATTTACTGGTTTAGTTTCATATAAACAAACTTATATAGTTCAATATTTTATATTTCTAATTTGTTTTTGATATATATATATATATATATATATATATATATATATATATATATATATCTAATTTATAATTACCATATGTATACGTGATATGTATATTAATAATGTTATATATGTGATATGGTTACCAAAAAAAAATGTTATATATGTGATATCTACCTTATATATATATATATATATATATATATATATATATATATATATATATATATATATTTACATGTGTGTGTTTTTAATTATTAGTTTGTATATTTATATATTTATTATATTCATATACCGTAATTAGATAAAAACTGCCAACCCAATGGGTGCAGCTCAGTTGGTAACTTGGCGCTGAGTTAGTGGGGTTGGATATGTGTTCGATTCCCGCTGAATGCATTCTTGGGAGGGGGCTGAACCTTTAGCCATCACTGTTCCCCCGCACTCCGGATTAGTCTCATAGCCGGCTCAAAGAGTCGAAGCTCGTGGGGATACCGGAGGGAGCCAACTCGTCTCAAAGAGATAATTAGGGTTGAGTAACTCCAAAAAAAAAAAATAAAAATAAAAACTGCCTCTATATGTTTTTGGTAGTTAGTCGAACTAATATAAATGAAAAAATATTATTCATTATCATTTTTGAATATTCAAAATTATAATTCCAGAAGGATAGCAAAAGAATTAAAATTGAAATTAATTGAAAAAATATAATTATGTTTTATTTATAAATTTCATGGGAATGCAAGACTGGTGTTTTTTTTTTAGTTTCATTTTTTATTGTGAGAGATCAATCTTAATCATTGGAATAATTGGAAGTAATTGACTTAGAGTGGGTGTAATTAACTCAATTATGAAAATAATTGAGTGTGAATATATGGCTGAAAATGCAAGTATTTATATATGTGATTGTATAGCGCAATTAGAGAAATTTTGACTCTACATATAATGTGTATGTTAATCGGACAAATATAAATGAAAATAATAATTTATTGTTTAGAATATTTAAAATTATAATTATTAAAGCATGGCGGAAGAATTAAAACTTAATTAATTGAAAAATCATAAAAAAAATTGGCAAACATAATTAATTTTTATTTATAAAATGAATTTATATTTATATTTCTAATTTTAATTCTTACGCAAATAAGATAAGTGAAATTAAAAGCTGAAATCCAATTTGAGGATTTTTTTTAAGACAAAAAGCTTAATTATTAATGGATTGACATAAAGCTTAATTATTAATGGATTGACATAAAGCTTAATTATTGTATTTGTATTTATATTTGACATAAAGCTTAATCATTGGAATTTATATTTGCAATTAAGAAAGTTATTAAATATTCAATTAATGGAGATATCAACAGGAAAAGAAAAAAGTTATAGCAAAATTAATAAACTTTTTAATTTTTCAAAATAATAAATAATTTAAAACAAACTAAAGCTTTTAAAAGTTATAATTATTTTGAAATGCAGAAAAATAAAAACCAGCACATTGACAAAAGTCAATCAAATTTTTTTTATTCCGCTTTTCCGAAGAACAATGCATATATCATAACTAGTGCATTACTCGTGCGATGCACGAAGAAAAAATATCAAAAAAATTATCGGCGATTGTCGTTGATTAATCTCTAAAAGAAAAAATGTGTCATTAAAGAAAAGAAAAGAATAGGGTTAGGTTTAATTTGAGTGGAGAGGAACGTAGTTATATATTAGTTTGGATGTGACTATTTTTTTATTTTTTTATTTTAGAATTCTAGAATGTTCTTTCGCTTCCGTTGGAGATCAATGGTGGGGAAATCTCTTCCTGCTTTCTGGTTGGTTCTAGAGGGTTCTTATTCTGCCAACTCAGATACAAAATTAATTATGTTTGCCTCTCGTTAAGAAACTATTATTATGTACTCACAAAATTTAAAGAGTTACAAAATAAGATACTAGTGCATTACTTGTGCGATGCACGGAGAAAAAAAATCAAAAATTTTATCGATGATTGTCGTTGATTAATCTCTAAAGGAGGAGAGAGAGTTGACAAAAAAAAATAAAGGTGTAGGTCTCACCTCTTTGTGAGAGTGAAAGGATGTAAGTTGTGTAATTTTAAATGATAGACAATTTTCCCTATATATATATATATATATATATATATATATATATATATATATATATATATATATATATATATATATTAGTGTATTAGATGTGCAATGCACGGGAAGAAAAAAAAAATCAATTTGTCTATCTCGTAAAAATTAACACAAATCGTAAAATTATATTGCTGCATTTTATGCAATTAAGATAATGAATGGTTTTTATGAATTACTACATTTAACTTCAACTACGAAGTGTTTATTGAAGTATTAAACATACTAACTCAAATATTTGCCATCTCTACATGTATAAAAAGTTAGAGCTAGACAGTAACAGCCCTCCGGACCGAGTCCATTTTGTCACCTCTAACTGTCAACATTTTATATCAACATGATTTGTTAAATAGTAAATATTAGAGAAAAAAAGTGTTGGCGGGCTAACCCGCTCGTTTGAAATGTGGGATGGGCCGGCCCTCTGAACCAAACTCATTTTTTCACCTCTAACTATCAGCATTTTTACGATGCAAGAGTTGCATGCCTACTGAATAATCATTCATTATTATAGTGTTTAAATTAAATTATTGTAATTTAATTTTTACAGAATGATAGATACTATTTTTTAATTAAATTTAAATTTAAAATTTTTTATATTTTTTTATACATA